CAGAATTGTGCACAGAAGAGGAACGAATGTTATTGCTCTATTTGGTATCACAGATTTTGTAAACAGGTTCCTTTAAAGCTTTGACTATTCTATTCTTCTTCTTAGTCTTGTCAATTTGTCTAGCTCCCAAAAATGATATCTATGCAAAATTCAATGAAGTTTTTATTAATTAGGATATTAACCTGGTTTTGTCATGTTCATGTATATGTATTATGTGAATTATGTGAAAGAATAATTAATGTCTTTTAGTAATAAAATTTTTGGTTGTAGTAACACAGAACTTTTTTATGTCTCTCATTTCACACTAGCACTTATATATATTGCTAGTATAAGAAGAAAGAACTTTGATGGAAATTAGTAAGATGCATTGGTGGACAGGCACATGGACTCTGGAGCAAAACTGGATTAGAAGGTTCCTGAGCATATAAACTTGGATATGTGATCAAAGCTCTGTCCTTAACTTTCATCATTTGTAAATGGGAATCACATTAATGATAGTATCTACATACAGTGATGTGTGAATTTAAGTCATACATGCAAAGAGCTTAAAATAGTGCCTAGCACATAGAGAGCATCCAGCAATTACTAATTTCCATGATTAGAACATACACCTTCTTGTGTTAGTAGAAAGAGCATCATCTTTGGGGTAATCTCCTAGGCATGTCACTCAGCCGCACCACTTAGGAGGTCAGTGATCTGGATAGTTCACTCAACTTATTCGAAGTCACCTTTTGCACCTATGAAATGACTATTATTGACAGTGTTACTGTGAAAGCTAAATGACATAATGGATGTGAATGGCATGGCGCAGGCATAGAGTAGGGGCTCAGTGAAGAATAACTATCGCGACAAGAGAGCAACCTGGTTTGGTGGACTAGCCGTGGGTTGGGGGCCCAGATTCGCTGGACTCAGGCAGCCTGATTTTTCTGCTATGAGCCTCTTTGCATGTAAAATTGGAATGCCAGTACCTGTCAAAGACCAGAGCTAGTGTGTGGAAAACGTCTGCCTCATAATAAGAACTCATTTGGGTTATTTATTTCTTGGGTTGGCAAATCATCTCCTCAGGGCCAGTTCCTGCCAGAGCACATGGTTTTGTATGGACTGAAAGTCAAGAATCGTTCTATGCTTTTAAATGGTTGGGAGGGGAAGAAAAGAACAAGATTTTGTGACTCATGGAAATTATATAAAATTTGCATTTTGGTGTCCAAAAGTAACTTTTTGTTTGAACGCCATCATGGTCATTGTTTCTATTATCTCTGGCTATTCTCCCACCACAATGGCAGATGTGAGTCATTTTGGCAGAGATCATAAAGCCTACAAAGCCCAAACTATTTGTTATGTGACTCTTTATAAAAAAAGGTTTGCTGATCCCTCATCTATTCTAACCTTCTCTTATATGTGAAGATTAAGGGGTAAAGAAATGAGAGGTGCTTGACTTGCTTACTTAAATATCCGGAGCTTAGAGTCTAGTTTCTTGACATTGGTCAACACGGCCACTTTTTATAAAATTTACGATTTGGAAAATTATATGAAAAAGGGGATAGTTATTATATTTATCCCCTGAGGGAGTATGTGTGACTAGATAATCTGAATATTTAATTTAAAAATATCCTAAAATATTTGCATTTCTCAGTATCCCTTTTGTGTCTGTAGTTACGTAGTTTATAAAGGCTTATCCTTTTATAACATTTATAACTATACTTTTCCTATATTATCTCATAGGAAACTTTGTTATAGTCAAAGAATTCCTGGAATTTTACATTTAACTGACTAGCAATTCTACACCAGTTTGTTACTTAGGTGATGACTATAATATTCATTACTTGTTTCATTTCCTCATCACTTCATTTTGAAAGCAGCACACAGACTGACCATTCCCAGCTCACCTCTTGCTTCTTATGGGCCATTCTCTACCCTTTTGCCCCTTCCTCCACCACTAATCACTCCCCACCCCCCCAATCCCATACCACCAAGGTACGAGTGAGGCTGAGTGGCAACCAGAGATTGTTTTATTTCCTCTAGTGTTTGGACACATTAACACCTTTAAGATGAAAGAAAATAAATGTTTTTTGACTGACACTATAAATGAGACAGAAATCCATCCGAGTTACTTGATTTAAGTACTGTAGGAGGAATGAGCTTGCGCTCTGAGCAAGTCATGCGTGTCCTAGTCAGGCAAATGATGGATTTGCTGCAGTGCAAGGTTTAATTTACAGAGCTTCCATGTTCCAGAGTCTGAAAAAAAACAGGGACCAAAGAACAAAGACGTAATCTGTCTATTTTAATCATCACATTACATCTATGTGGACCAGAAATACAACTGTAAAAATAAACCTATTTAATCAAACAGCCTATTAAAAATAATTTTAAAACTAGTTATTTGTAATCTATCAAGTACAGTAAGCCTTTTTTTTAAATAGAGATTTAAAAAATCTAAATTAACCAGAAGTTTTGATATAGGTCATACCTAACCACTGACTGAATGATTGGGAAAAAAAACTCCTTCATTTATATTCAGAATTCTGCCAGAGACAACAGGTTATTTTCAAGTTTTCTTAGGTATTATAACCTATAAAAGGTATAGCAGTGATGTCCTGGAGGGGCAAGTTATGGCTCAAGCCAATTAATACATTTTCAGGAATTTTGCAAGCTGGTTGTTAAATCCTTGGTGGCTTGGTATTGTCCAAGGTAGGAGCATTTATACCAGGGAAATAGGCAGACTCTGGAAATCAGTGCTACCCTTGCCTATGTGGTTTATCAGCACACCATTGAGTATATTTAAATCAACCATACTCTTCTGAGTTCTTATTGGGGGGGATGAAAATGTTCTAAAATTGAATTATGGTGGTGGTTGTACCATTCTTTAAAGTCACTAAAAATTATTGAGTTGTATACTCTTGAAATGAGTGAGTTTTATGATCTCTAAAATATACCTCAAAAAAATTATTCAACAAAATGCCCCCAAATTAACAAACAAAATGTCAGTGTGTATCAGTGGCTTTAAGATTCAGGTACATGCTCCATAAATAAAAGATAAAGCCATATTTACTCAGCACTTCTGAGGGACTTATATTCTATGCAGTGATTCTTAACCTTGGTCTCACTCTGGAGTCACTTGGAAAGTTTAATAAGAAAACAATTACTCTCAAGATACTTTTGTCATTTGTCTAGCCTGTGGCCTGGGCAGAATTTTGTTAAAACTTCTAGGGTGATTCCCTTGTGCCACTGAGGTTTAGAACCACAACTATGGAGCAATAACTCCAGATAATTGTAGCTTGCCTGTTGTTACAGAAACCATCCTCAATTTCTTAATAAATTGCCAGGGTTCTGAAATAGAGAAGGATGGACATAAATGCACATTTTGGGGCGTGTTTCTGGGTTGTATTGAATGTCTATTCTTTGCACAGGAAGGGAAGACACAGATTTGTTTCCTTGTGGGTTTCACCTGTAGTTGCTTCTTGCTATGGGCATTATGGTGGGAAAAGGGATGTAATGTACCTCACTTTGTCACCTAAGCAAGTACCAATGTACTCAACACAGAGTCTAGGCTACAGGATTATTGAATTAAAGGGCCAGAGTTGAATATCTCCTTTGGATCTCTTCTCTTTGGGGGCTTCTTACTGATCATGGACTGAGAGTACAGATACGGAAGCATGTACTAAAGAATTATAGTTTAATAATTTAATAAGGCCTTACATGAGAGTCCACATGTCCAGCTTTAGTGCCTGGATTTGTGACACCGGTTTTGGATGTTCAGGGGCATTTTACCTTTTCTCTTTGGGGACATCTAGAAGGATAGTGATATCTGGGAACTCTGAATGTCCAATAAGAGGAGTCTGTTTTATAGAAAATTCTAGCTCTTATATCTTATTTACTTTCAGAAGGTAGAGTTTGATTCCGAAACCTCAAATTTAAAATCTAAAGACAAGATTTATTGAGAACTTTGACACTAATACAACACAAAAGATACAATCCCTGCCATGTTAGCTGCAGAGAGATTCACCCCTGCTTCAGAGTTTCTCTGGTTAAGAAGAGGTTTTGGCAGGCTGGAACCCCAGCTTTGCCATTTAACTGATGTGTGACATAGGCAAGTTATTCAAACCTTTTTGAGCTCATTTTCTTCCTTTGTAAGATGGAGATGATAACAGTTCCTATGTCATTGGGTTGTTGTGAAGATTTGAGCTGTTTATTATGACAGAAGGTGCAGATTCTGCCTCTTGTGAAGCACAGGTGTCGAAACCAGCCTCACCAGGCTGTTCCTGGTATTTTAGGGTAAAGGCTCAGTGTTTCTAGGAAATCCCCTATTCCTCTCTTATGCAATATTGTTTCTCTGATTAAATATCCTGATGAGTTGTCTTCTCTGGTCCCTTCTTAAAGATGGGACATTGATGACTTCACCTACTCAAACTCATTACCTGTTTGAGGCAGAAATTGTATCCTCTTTCTGACTTGCTAGTATTTAAGAGGCTCAAAGTTACCCCTCCAGATATGCCTACATACAAGAACTCACAAATGCAGTGTCAGGAAAAAGAAAGACAAACGGACAATGCTGCAAACACTTCCTCCTTTCTCTTTTGAAAAAGTCCCTTTCCTGAGCAGCAGGGTAAGTTTTTCTGTTTATCTTACTGGCAACAGCTTAATAGATCTAAAAAATTTTAACAACATATTTACTCACAAACCAGACCAATATGAACGGAGCCAAGCAACATCAACTGAAATGTTTCACTTCTGTCCCTACTCTCAAAATCTGTCTAGCATTTGAATTTTGTCCCATAGACTGCATCTACCTGCTTTCACATCTGGGAAAATAACATGTGCTTTTACAGTGCAGTTGGCTTCAAGCAGGGAGACACCTAACAGACACAAATGAGTCACATGGAAAGGATAGAAAATTGGGGTGGCAGAGTGCTAAAGATAATCATTAATCAAAGTGAGCATTAGGGAAAGGGCAGTTAATGCTCACCCAAATAGCGCTTCCAAAAGCGGATCTGCTCTCTTACCCCAAGTCCTGCAGCAGCTCAGCTTCTCCATCGGATCTGCTCCACAGATCTGAAGGATCCTGGGTGCTCATCGTCCCTTTTAGAGACTCTGCTCTGCCCATTCGCGCTCCTCGAGTCTGCAAAGCCCCTGCAGGTGCCGCGGGAAGAAGCAATGGGTTCTGCTGCTCCTCACACTCTCCTCCTTTTTGAGACAAGCCAGCTGTGTGTCTCCAACCCACAAGGAAGTGAAACTTGGTTACTCCTCCCACCAACACTCACCGCCCTGGCCCGAGGCACTGGCAGGAGTGTTCTGTCAGTCAGAAAGTATGCAAACTTAGCTAGCTACCTCTGAGGACACCCACACTGCATCACGCAACCTGCAGTTTCTGTCAAAGGAAAGAAAGGTGACAGCACTCCAACTGGGAATGGACAATTAATTCAAATTCCTCCTGTGAGGCCAGGCCAAAGTTTCTCTTTGGTCTCCTCTGGTTTGTAGAGGGGGTGCATGCACTCATTCATTCCCCACACCTTCCGTCTCACATACAAACACACAGGACACTGAGGAAGCCTCTATTTCAGGAACATCATTACAGTGGGAAAACAAATCAGAGTCAAATCACTAACTTCAATACTGAAGTCTGGTTTTTAGCACTTTCTCAGTATTTCTGTTTCAATTATCCACATTTCCAACATATACTTGGAGTTCAGATTAGCGTGGTTCAGAGACAATTATTTACTCAGTGTAAAAAAGATAAGGTGAGAACAAGGTAGGAGAAGTTGGAAGGGGCCAGCCTGTACCAACTACTGGGGGTGTTAGAATGTCCCTGCTACTTCCTTCCCTAGGCTTACAGTCAGTATCACTTTGTGTCCACATTCATGGGTAGAGAATTCCATCTGCCGGGAAGTCCCAAAGGCAACTGCAGTAACTCTGAATCCTTGAGAAATGGAAATAAAAACAGCAATAAATGGATGACAAAACATGTATTACTTCCTGCCTTCTCTCTGAATGTGCTTCTGGTCTTCCTTTCTTTCCTTTTCTTTTTCTTTTTCTTTTTCTTTTTCTTTTTCTTTTTCTTTTTCTTTTCCTTTCCTTCCCTTCCCTTCCCTTCCCTTCCCTTCCCTTCCCTTCCCTTCCCTTCCCTTTCCTTTTTTTTCCTTTCTTAATCCTCACCCAAGGATATGTTTATTGATTTTAGAGAGAGAGGAAAGGGGAGAGAAAAAGAAACACTGACATGAGAAACATCAATCAGTTGCCTCCTGTAGGTGCTCTGACCAGGGATGGAAACTGCAACCTAGGTGTGCCCTGACCAGAGGTCGAACCCACAACCTTCTGGTGCACGGGCTGACTGCTCCAACTAGTTAAGCCACCTGGCCAGGGCTGGTCCCATTCACATTCTCTTTCTCTCTCCCTGACTCAGGGTTCACCAGAGTGCTCTGTAACTTGCTTCTCCCAGGGCCATCTGAGGACCAGCACCATTGGCATCACTTGGATCTTATGAGAATGGAGAATTATGGGTTCATCCCAGTCCTTCTGAAACAGCATCTGCCTTTGAACCAGATTGCCAGAGTGACTCCCTGCACATTGAAGTCTGAGGAGACTACTTTATAGGGTACCAACACAGAGCTGTTCCTAAAGGAGAGTCTGTGCCTAGATTCATTCTCCCCTTCCTTAAGGTCCTTCGCTATTCTGCGTGTGTTTGCAATTTGTGAGACCCTGGCTTCTTCAGATTGCTAGAGAGAAATTCCTGCGTTTCTGGGGACAGCCTGGAGGAGACTAGGCTCTGATAACACACACTGATTGTATACAAGCATTTAGAATTTTTTTGACTACAGTTTGTTTGGAGAGAAGTGCTGGACCCACTTGCAACAGTGGCCAGTCCTGGCCAGGAAGGTGCTGAATGTGCCTACAGCAGAGATAGAAGACCAGCTGGTGGCAAATTTCCTGTTTCCTTTCTATAGCCCTTTGTTTAGTGGTTTAGTATCTATTTTGCTCCTGTTTTAGCAAATTCTGGTTTTTCTTTTTTTAGCCTTTCTTTTCAGAAAGGTAGCCGAGTTTACTAAGATGACCCTCTTCCCTTTTTTCTATTTGCCTGCCACTCTCCTTTTCTCATTTTACTATTCCATCTTTTGTCCACTCCTGTGATGCTGTTTCATTTTGTCACTTATTCTATTTTCTTCAGGATCCCTCCCTTCCCCACCAACCTTTTCTTCCAAGTACAAGGTCAACATTGCTGTGGAACCAGTGCTGCCGCATTACTAGGTGGTTTCAACAAAATTACCAGATATTTGTAAAACTATCTGGAAATACAGCAATTTTCAACCTTTTTTTTCTTTCTTTTTTAAATTTCAGGGCACACATAAACTAATTACTGAAATTCTGCACACACCAAAAATATATTTTTCACCAATCTGATTTCATTTATTTAGGTTTTCTCTCTCTCTCTCTCTTTTAATTTTTTAATGAGTCTGGTTAATGGTTTGTCAATTTTGCTTATCCTTTTTTCCAAGAACCAGCTCCTGGGTTTATTGATCCTTTGAATTGTTCTTTTAGTTTCTATGCCATTCAGTTTTGCTCTGATCTTGATTACTTCCTTCCCTCTACTCGCTCTGGGCTTTGTTTGTTGTTGTTCCTCCTGTTCTTATAGATATAGTGTTAGGTTTGTTATATGAGAATTTTCTATCTTGTTTAGGTAGGCCTGTATTGCTATGAACCTCTTAGTATTGCCTTTGCTGTGCCCCATAGGTTTTCGGTTGTTGCATGTTCATTTTCATTTGTTTCCCAGTACTTTTTGATTTGTTCCTTGATCTCATTGTTGACCAATATCTAATAACATTTTATCAGTTTCCTTGTATTTGAATGTTTTTGAGTTTTTTCCTAGAGGTTGGTTTTTATTTTTAATACATTGTGACTTGAGCGTATGCTTGATATGATTTAAATTCTCTTGAATTTGTTTTGTGTCCTATCATGTGATCTACTTTGAAAATTTTTCATGTGTGTTTGAAAAGAATGTATATTTTGCTTCTTTGGGGTGAAAGTTTACATATGTATGTAAAATCAATTAAGTCTATTTTATCTAGAGTGTTGTTCAGTGCCACAATATCTTTGTTGATTCTTTGTCTGAAGGATATCTCCATTATTGACAGTGGGGTATAAAAATCCCCTATAATAACTATGTTGCAGTGATCTCCTTCTTGAAGCCCTCCAAGATTTCTCTTACATATTTAGGTGCTTCTATGTTGGATGCATATATGTTTATAAGGGTTATATCCTTCTGTTGGACTACTTCCTTAAGTATTATGTAGTGACCTTATTTGTCCTTTTTTATTGTTTTGTTTTGAAATCTAAATTCTCTGATATAAATATTGCTACTCCAGTTTTCTCTTTGTGTCCATTTGCTTCAAATATTTTTTTCCATCCCTTTATTTTCATCCTGTGTAGAACTTTTGCTCTGAGGTGGGTCTCTTGTAGGTAGCATTTATGCAGGATCATGTTTTCTTATCCATTCAGCTACCTATGTTTTTTGATTGGAACATTTAATTCATTTATGTTTACGGTTATTATTGCCAGGTACTTATTCATTGCTATTTTTTCCGTAGCAGTGTTTCTCTCTCTCTTTCTTCTCCTTTTTATAGCAGTCCCTTTAGCATATCTTACAATGCTGCGTTCACAGAGATGTACTCTTTTAGCCTTCTCTTGTTTGGGAAGCTCTTTATTTCACCTTCCATTTTAAATGAGAGCCTTGCTGGATAGAGTAGCCATTGTTACAGGTCCTTGCTTTTCATTACCTGGATTATTTTATGCCAGTCCCTTCAAACTTGTAGTATTTCTGCTGAGAAGTTAGATGATAGCCTTATTGGAGATCTCTTGCATGCTACTAGCTGTTTCTCCCTTTGAGATTCTCTCTTTGTCTTTAAAATTTGCCATTGTAATTATGGTGTATCTTGGAGTGGATCTCTTCCAGTTCATCTTGATTGGGACCCTCTGTACTTCCTGAACTTACATGACTTTTGTTCCTCACCTAGTTAGAGAAGTTTTCTGCCATTATTTTTTCAAACAGGTTTTCTATCCCTTGTTCCTTTTCTCTCCTTTTGATATTCCTATGAGCAAATTTTGTTACATTCCACGTTGTCCTGAAGCTTCCTAAACTACCCTTGTTCTTTTTGAGTCTTTTTTTGTTTTGTTGTTCTGATTGGGTATTTCTTTCTACCTTGTCTTCCAGCTAGCTGATTTGGTCCTCTGCTTCATCTAGCCTGCTTTTAATTATTAGCCTGCTTCTAGTGCATTTTTCATTGCAGATATTGTATAACTCACTTGTTCCTGGTTCTTATTCATAGTTTTTATGTCTTTTTTTTTTCATGCTGCTGTAGTTCCCACTAAGTTCCTAGTAGTTCTCACTGAGTTCCTTGAACATCCTTATAACCATTATTTTGTATTCAGTGTCTGATAGGTTGCTTGCCTCAATTTCGTTCAGCTCTTTTTCTGGGGATTTCTTTTGATTGGAGGTTATTTCTTTGTCTCCCCATTTTAGGTGACTTATTTTTGTTTCTACATCTCAAGTTGCTCTGCTTTGCCTGCCTGTCTTTGTGGTGTGGGTTTCTGTGGTAGGAATTCTGTGGGACTCAGCAGTGCTGTCTCTTTGTTCTTCTAATCTGGATGCTCTAGGGTTGCTTTTTATTCAGTTTATGTGAGCTCTCTTGTTGTACTTGGGCTTTGATTCTTGATGGCTCCTTCATTGGTGGGTTCTCCCCTCAGGCTGGCTGACTAGGAGACACAACTCCTGCCCAGTCGTGTATGCTGCTGTACAGGTGCTGGTTAACAAAGCAGTACTACCCAGACACCAAACCCATGCCAGCAAAAATACCCCTTCCACATCAGCAAAGCAACAGCAATTGAGCTAATATTAATAAAGGTGGAAAGGGATTAAGACTATTATAAGATAAGAAAAAGACAATATGAGATGACTAAAGGAGAGAAAAAGGATTTTGAGTGGGAAAAGAAAGGAGAAATCATAAGAGTACAGAACAGAAATAAGGTTACAAAAGGGAGAAAATAAAATTTAAAATGTAAGTGAAACAAGGAAGAGTGATGGCAAAATGGAGTAAGAAAAGGGGAGAGTATAAAATGAGATTTGAAATAAAATTTAAGAAGTAGTGAACCAAAGGGAACAGAATTGCAGAAAAACCACAATAGAGTCAATGACAATGACAGCCTAGCAAATATTAATAAAAGTGGAAAGAGAATAAGAATATTACATGACATAAAAAACA